CCTTTTAGGTGGCAGTGAGAGGTTTTGATTTTACTGTAACTGCATTCAGACAACACTGAATGGTTCCAGTGAGGTAAATAACATGACTAGATTTGTTTTCAAGGAACAACCAATTTTATGAGCACCAGGTTTATGATTATTTGTAACAATTTGCAGAGTGTGATCTGCCAATAAACCTCTTTCACAGTATGCTGTGGTTATAACAGTAGTTTGATCAATATGGGCCTAGTCACTCTGGAGTAAAGAAGAGTTGCAATCTATGTGACCTCATTTATTTCTAAGCACCATCTAGCAAGGAGAAAATATTTGAATTATTTAGAGGCAAAAACTCAGAGAAATTGTGATTTTTTTTTAATCCACCATTTATTAATTATATTTAATCAGGCCCTGTGCTAGGCTCTTTACATGCATTATTTCATTCAGTTTCTCTGAAGAAGATACTGTTATTTTCATTTCATAGACAAGCAAACAGACTTAGTGAAGTAATGTGGCCATAGTCATAGAGTTGTAAATAATGCAGTTGGGATTTGAAACTCGGGTTTATGTACATGAACCTGAGTTCTTTACAACAATGTTCTATCACTGTGTGAATGATTTGTTTAAGGTAATGTAACACTAAATTATAATACCAGGGAAAAAATTAAGGTTTAAATTTCAAATTCATGGCTTTCAATCATAATATGCCACCTCTTGACATACTTTATTTAATCTATTTTCCATACTCCCATGTCAAGAATACAAGGGAATTAGATACGAGCATTGGAATTATCACTGAAAGGTCTTAAAACTGCAAACTAAGCAAAGATTGAGAATTGGTCTGGAGAATCGACAGTTTACCAACTGAAAATAAACTTGAAAGTGATTCTTAATATTTGACCAAACAAGGGTAAACTTTCACTATATTAACAATTTTCAGCCAAGGGCCAGAACTAAATTCTACCAGGGCTACCTCTAGTTCAGTGATATTCAAAGAAGTTAAACCACTTTTAAAACTGATATATCCTCTGGCAATTTAATATCAGCGTATCATTGTGACATTCAGCTTCAGATCATGTTGAAGTGTTGCTGCAATGTCTTCTCTTAGACTGCAGTTCTATGTGCCGTTCTATGTGCCACTGACACAGGTTGTTTGATTTAAGCCTCCTCTATCTCTTCTATTTATTGGTAACATACAAGCTGCAAGGATCATTTGATGTGCAAATTAAATTGCAGGTTTTATTTTCAAAGGATGACATAAGCTATATCATTTTAACAACTATTTACACAGCTTTTTCTAAACTGCTACTCTGAAAACAGGCATTTCATTCTGTTTATTGCAGTGCTTCCTGATTTAGTTTTTCAAAACTGCTTGCTAACTATTGGCTTGTTAAAGTATATATACATAAGATGATTCCTTGCAGTGTTTTAGTAGGTACATGCTTTGGAATTAAACTTGGGCATTCTCATGATTTTTTGCTTAGATAATCCCTTATCAGCATTCACAACTTCTTTTTTGTACTTGCTGATTTGCACCTTTCCTTTCTTCTTTCCCCACTTCCTTCCCAGTGATAAGTAGGAGAAGTTAAGTCTCATCATCTAGCTGATGTGATAATTTCATGACTGTATTATAGAGTTAAGGTAAAAATAATAGAGTAAGGATTGATACTTCTACATGAAATGCCTTTTTGTTTCTAAGTGGCACTTTAACAACCTAGAAACCCTTAAGATTTTAGTAAGCTAAAGTAGTCTTCTCCCTCCCTCCCTCCCCCCCTTCTCTTTCTCAACATTTTGTGGAAAGGAGAGGTTTTGCAGAGGACATTTTAAGTTTAAAAATGATGTTTTACAAGGACCATCCTGTCAGTGCTTTTGCTAAGCATTCACCAAGACTCCGGGCTAGCTCATTTGTTGGAGCGTGAGACTCTTGATATGCAAGCGCCACGCCAATTACACGGAATGCTGGCACCATTTTAGTCAAGTGAAATGAAGGTGTAAGTGAAATCTTAATAATGATGGGAAATAATGGTTCTACATGCCAAAAACTTTCCTTTTCCTTGCCTCTCAGAAATTCTTTATATCTTTTGTGTTTCAGCAGTCTGTATTTAAATGGGAAATTTTCAGCAGAAATGGAAAGTTCTATAAAAAATGTTATTTGATAATTTGTGATGTAAATTTGGAGATGGCATCATAGAGACTGATAATTTTTCCTTATCCATCATTAGGTTTTCTATTTAGTTATTTAATTTTTATGAAAATCGATCATTTGATGTTGAAAAGAGTAAAACTGCTAATTACTATTTTTTTAGCAAAAATCAAATTAAGTAGATTTTCTCCTTTTAAATTTGAATTAGGAAAATGTTGTAGAGTATTTTATCTGAATGAAACCTGACAAATTGGTCTCATTGGTCTATTTTATAGGTGAGAAAATGGAGGCCCTGAAAGGTTAAGTAACTTACCCAAGGCTACGGAGCCATTAAGTGCAGACTTGGCTTTTGGTTCCCTAGTGCTGAGGTGTTTATACTTTACAACTTGTCTTTGTTTGTAGGACATGAATGGAAATGAGAAATCACTATTTCTTTTGTTTTTACTATTTTTTTTCAAGAATTTGTTGGGTTTTTCATTGAAAATGCCAAATAAGTTCATGTCTTATTGGAATTATACAATGACTTCTAGATTGAAAATGACATTCAAAATCCACAATTAAATAAGTCTGTGTAGTATTTCCCTTAATGTATTCTTAAACTTTGCCAATTTAAGGCAAAACTACCATTTTGTTGACTTATATACCTTTTTATATAATTTTGTAATTCATCTTCCTCCAATCAATATTTCCCTAACTTATAAGAGACTAATGCCATCTATAGATTTGATTTAATTATGATCTCACTCTTCACGAAGAATGTATAATATTGGTCCTGCTGTGTATGTTTCTTCACTGACAGAAGTACTCATTTATATAGTATTTTGTTTTCTACCTTTAATTCAGTTTCTATAACCAAACAATAGCTCTAAACCCATATCAACTTATTTAATCTCTTTTTATATTAACAAATTGCTTCTTCCTCTATTTACATGCCATGTATGTTTGTCCTTTTATATGCCTATGATATATTAGTAGTAGATATGACTCTCCTCAAATATGAATTATTTTACATCTCTTAAGTTGGTAAGCATTTGATTGGTCATTCTACCCATACGAATTTAGATTAGCTTCTTAGTAATTGAAATTTGGCAATATATAGTTTACAGTTTTTTATCTAGAAACTTCTTTTGCATTCTTTCCTACTATTAATAGTAGTATGTTTCTTACTGCCATTAAAAAGGGTGTTAAAGTTAGAAAGAGAGGAAGGGTTGGTTTAGAGAAGACAAAGCAGATAGCAAATCTCATGAGAGGAAGAAATGAGGGACAGATGAGGAACTGGGGTTGACCGATACAGGAACTGAGAGTGAAATTCTACTTACATTTCTAAGATGAATGAATTGTGACATTGTCGATCGATTCTGCTTGGTTGTCCTAACAATTTATGTAAATAACCTCATGTTGTTTCGGATCTGATGATCTTAGTTGACAGGTTATGCTGCAGCCTCTGTATTTGTGGTTACAAAGTATGGGAATGTAGGGCAGGTTTTCCAGTAGAGATGTGTGTGTGCAGTTTCCAGCTTCCTTAATAAGCTTTGGAAAAATATGCTGTAATCAAATGTGTCACATTCCAAATGTATATTATTTCATGTAGCTACTTTTGGTAAACTTCCCTATCATAGAAAGCTGAGGGGATCAACAAATACCCATGAGCCTTGCCTAGATTTGTCCTACAACTTTGTGTCCTGAGTGTGCATGTGATTACAGATGGCCCTCAGTCCAAGCAGTTTTTTTATTAGTATTCTGGATAATGATTAGTCATATACCAGTCTGTACCAGATTAGTCTTTCATAAGACTTTATTAACATCTTTACTGATAATGCAAAAGCAAAAATTCTATCAGAACTCTGTTACTTTAACAGGAGGGCATTAATTGTACCTGTTAGCTTATTGTTAGGAATCTATTTCTGAGCAGCAGCATTTTTTGGCATTTGACATATCCATGGTCCCAAGACATAGGTCTTCCCCTTTCAGCTCTCAAGTTCAGTGATATCTTGAAATATTGGGTTGGAATCTTATGATACATTTTGAAGGATTTCTTTTCTGCTACTTTTTTAAATACTGATCTTCTCTCCAAAGAGCTCATATTAGCATTTTCTGCTGTTCTCCCCATTGGTTTCAAGACTTTGATATTCTTCTTTTCTCATACCCTTATGTATCTGACTCTTGCTATTTTTTTTTTCCTAATGCCCTTCTGTTGCAGTTTAGCTTCTCCAGAAAGCAGACTTTGAGATGAAAATTAATGTGCAGGAAGTTTATTAGAAACTTGGGATCAACCCTTGTGGATCACTCTTGGGATCAACCCTTGTGGATTGAGGGACAGAAACCAGTATTGGGCAGAAGGGGAAGTTGAGTTGCCACGCAGTCTCAAATAAAATCTGACCATGTGGGGACCTCTGAGTGTCACTGGTTGGGAAAAGGGGACCAGTCATTATATTCTCCATGTCAGCTAGTCTTTGGATGTGGGCTGCCCTAGAAAAGAGTGTGACATTTTGTAGGAGAGTCGTCAGCTGAGGCCATTTTCAAAAGAGCTGATAGCTGAGGGTGGTCTGCTGGCTGCACCGTGGCAGCTGGAGAATCAACTCCTCAGTCCTGAAAGGGGATGTGGGTGGCACATCACAGTTTCCACTCCATATGTTTTGCAAGGATGCTGGAGATAGTGAAGAATGGCCTGGGGAATGGTCAGAATTTTCAGGAATGAGTTGTTGCAGAGCAGAGTGGTCAGGGGCTTGGAGAGATAGTAGAGATAAGTTGATGTGGAAGGGGTTTGTTTGTTCTGCCGGGGAATTGAATTCTGGCATTTATTATTGCTTTTCTGAATATGTTTTTAAAATTATATTTATAGTGTTGCTATTTCCTTTTTAAGTTATGGAAACCTGATGAAAACTGTGCCAAAAATGTGCATAACTTTATGTACTTACCATTTGGGTTTTGTAAAACCTACTGATGATTTTTCAGTTTTCTGTCCTTTATAATTTAAATATGCTTTTTGGGTCTTCATATTAAAAAGTTATTTGTGTGCTAAGTTTTATGTTTGATATATCTGTTAATGCTTAATCACAGTAAATCATTTTCCCACACATTTTATAATTTCTAAATTTATAAGCTCATCTTTAGTGGGGATTGTTTTTGGTTTTGTTTTGGTTTGGTTTTTCTACTTGAAGAATCCCATGTGGCCTTGTTTATGGAGTGTTACTTTAAAATGGTTTTATGTTTGTTTTTTCCAGATACTCCTGGGATTTCACTGGCCCAGCATCCAATTTCTTAGTTTGGGGATCCTTAATTTTTTATCTTGAAAATTCTCATACAAATAAGATTCAGACTTCAAAAGTGTTGTGTCATAGGTTTAGGATTTTAATTTCTGGTTACAGCATTTTCCCTGCCCTCTCACCCAGATTCTCAGAGACAAGTTTTACTAAAACAGTGAGTGAATTTCTCCTACCCCCACCACCCCACTGCCTTTTTAACTGTGATTGTAGCCCTTTGAAGACAGCTCTGGTTTTATGGTACCAACTTTATACCTTATGTGTGCCAAGACCTCTTCTGTCTCAACATGGGCGTCAAGACTGCTATATACAGATGTGCAGATTGTATCCTGTGTTGAGGAAAAGTGGGGCCAGAAATCTAGTATAGCTCTGCTTTCTTGAGGGAGCATTTTCTTCTGATCTTTTCTCCTTGAAGGGCATCCTGTTAGGACCAATTTGAATCTAGACTTAAGCACTGAACAGATTCACTGAGTATTCCTGGTTGCCACAGCTAGCAGTATTTGCTTTTGTGCTTACCACTTTGTCCATGGATTCCAGCTTTCCTTTGGCACCAGGGAATTTTCTTTATTGCAAGTAAAACTATGTTTTTAATTTTTTTACACTTATTTTCTAAGTGTTTTGTAGTGGAAAGTCTTTATTAACTCAGTTGACCATATTGCTGTGCTTGGAATTCCCATAAGTTACTTATTAACCACTATTGCTCAGATTCTGCCTATAATGAGTGATAATGGCGTCTATCTGTATAGTCTTAATTTAGAGCATAAGTAAGTTCTCAGTCAGTGCTAGCCATTATTATTGGCATAATTTAAAACCTTTTTTAACCACCTTAGGCAAGAGTTGGAAGTATAGTAGTAGCTATGTTTACTTACTTAACAAGAAGAGGAAGTCTTAGTTAACGCCCTAGAGAAACCAAAGGAGAAATTGTGTTCATTATACAACAATGCCAACTGAAGCTTAGAGTCCCACCCTTTTTTTTTGATACGCCAAAGGTCGCTTGGCACATAAATGAACTCAGAGGAATGTCCTCTCAATATTGCCTGGATGATTGCTTAGAGAAGTTTTGCCTGAATTGTGTGGGTAGGTAAGTTTGAGTTTAATATTTTCTTTGCTAAGGAGGGCTCTCAAAGGCATAATTATTATAAAGGGTATTTGTAGACCTTGAAACATGTAGTAATACTTCTTAGTCCAATTAAGCCCTTTGACAGTTTTTAAAATTCCCATTTGGTATTCCAAGTGAATTCTAACCTTGGTGAAATTGGTGGTAGCCTTGTCTTCACAGGGTCCTGCCTCCTGTCTTCTTGCTTACAGAGATGGGGATTTAAAGGATTTCCTCCTTTAGGTCATGGTGTTTAAGAGAATAATTTTCCCTCTCATATTTTAGCTAAGAAGAGGCCTATTGACTATTAACAGTTGGGAATGTGGGAATGCATAGACACAATATATCAAGTTCATAAAAAAATATTTTGAACATAATTTTATATGCAAATACTGTGATTATCCTATAAATATTAACTGCTTTGGATTGTTTATACACTGTTGTACTGTGAAAATTTGCTTATTAACCATGTTTAGCCTTCTTATGTTGTTACTGGCTTTGAGTCTAGAGGCTAAATACTGCCAAATTCCTGTGTAAACATTTTGCTTGGGACCTAAAATGTAGTTGAATATGTGTATTTAAAGTTTTTTTTTTAAACCCATGTATATTAATGGAACTTTGCAAATGTTTAAATAGTCAATTAGTGGAAGCTTTTAAAGAACAACTCTTTCAAAAATCCAATTTTATAATTATAGTGTTTTAAACATCAAATTTGAGTTTAGTGACAAACATATATCATTAATTCTTAATATATAGATTTATATATATCTTTTATTTTTGTTCTTATTGATTTATTTGTTATATTTAATCTTATTCAGAAGAAACTTTTTCTTAATTGTTTAGTTACTAATAGTTAAGCACAAGGCTAAGATTTATACTATTTAAAAACAAGAGCTAATAACATTGTGCCACAATATATTAGATAGAAAGCAAAAGTAAATAAACTGGTAAAGTTACTATTTTGGTGCTGGGAAATGTAGTGAGTTCTTTAGTTTAGGTCCACAGTTATGGTTGTATTGATCCTTTTTGAAATACATTCTTGGATATGTTGGTTTTCCTGTAATATGTCTATTATTTCTTAAGCCTCTTCTATACCTTAAGGAACATGATCAGTTTACACAAATTTTAACTACCCATGCAAACATCGTGTGCAGCTTTTTGCTAGTGTACATAGGTGAAGTTACTTGAGATGTTTATGGCTAGATTTATTCTTACCCTTGCTATAAAGTTTTGGTTAGCTTTACTGGCCAAATTCTAAGGCAGATGTTAGTATCATGTGGAATATAAACCTCCATATATGTTCTGGGAATGGTATGTGAACTATTTTGTTCTTTGATCCACTTATCCCCACCATCCTTGCATCTGCTGTTCCTTAAGTGTTATAAAAGAGGTTTCTGTTTTTCTGCAGCTAGACTTGGAAACAGTTTCTTCAATTTAACTTAAGTAAATTGTATATAAAAGGAAATAACCATGGGGAGGAAAAGCTGTTTAGTCTCATTTCTATTTAAATAGTTCTGAAATAAATTGTATAGAGAAGACTTCTTTTAATTTATCTTTCAGTGACATCATGTGTCATTAATTCATCAAAGTAGGTATGAAGTTTAGTTAAAGAAACTGCCTTGGAGTTTTTTAAGGTGACAAAAATCAGTTCATTGTATTTTAGACTTTTAAATAATAGCTAAGTTGAATTGTATAAAAACTTAGTGCAGAGGATATAATGAAGTACATTATCATATAGTCTTTTGATAATTTACCCTATAAGCTATTTCTAATTTAATTAAACAGTTAAGTATTTAAAAATTTCTTCTTATTTTAGAGTTTAGGTTTGTGTATGTGTTTTCACTTATTTAATTTGACACGTAAGAACTTAAAAATTGACTTTTCAGCTATGTGAAGAAATTGTACTTATTTTGGTTAAAATTTGTGGCATTTTACACAGAACCCTGTGTGCAGAATGTATTAACTAAATTTGGGGAATTTGATTAGAAGAAACTTATGGTAGTCTTAATTCTCAATATATTTTCTGAAATGTGAAAGCAATTTGTGGAATATGTCTATCTGACCTTGGTAACCTAATGTAATATCTGAGTGGAATGTGAATTTCTTAAAGCTTGCTCTTAGGTTAAGTATCAATATTTGTTAAAGAAGGCTTAGTTTTAGGAACATTGTTATACATTTTCCTGATTATTAAAAAGATATTGTGTCAGATATCTAGATGTAATTCAGAATGATATTATTTAACTTTGCTAATTATATTATCTTAATCACCAGATTTAAAGTTCTGCTAATAACTCTCTGATATATTATTACTACAGTATTTGGTTCCATTATATTCTTCCTTCATTGTTTAAAAAAAAATGCGTTCCCTTATTATGCAGGTAATTTTTCTTTACTTCACCATTTCATATAATTTGCCAGACCAAATGACATAGTTAGTATCCATTAAGTAGAGCCATGAATATCAATCTTGCACACAAAGCCTGGGATTGTGGTTGGTGAAAGCCCTCCTGCTGTCCTGGCCTGGCATTCCAAAGACTCTGAATGAATTCTCTTAACTTATTCAAGGCCTAGATTTGTAAAAGCCAGTTGGCTTCCTTTTGCCCATTCATAACTCATGCCACATTCTTCTGGTTAAAAATTACTAGTAAATTTCCCACTTCCCATCATACAGAATTCAATGTCCAGTATGTAGCTTATCATTTAAGTCATATGTCTTAATTTATGGCCTAAGGTTCTTGTTCTTTAGGCTTCATACCTCCCATTTCCTGTTTCTTTTTCTATAACATGGAATGTCAAGCTATAATTAGAAAATCTCTTCCTCCTATTCAAAATTTACCTCATCCTTAAGGTCTACTGACCACCAACATTAAATTTCTCCTGGTCTCCTTTCCCAATGTTGAAAGTAATCTGTTTTGTACTTTGTGCGCTTTCTTATTGTGCTTTGTGTTCTTTCTTGTGCTGTAGTTATTTTTACATGTGTTATGATATTTTACTTCTCCTATAATGTTGATTGAGTTTAACTGATTGAGTTATTTAGTTTAAGTCTCCATCTCTTACCATGATAAGTTGGAGGTGGTTTTGTCTTGTTTCTCCTATGTTGCCTTTTTGGTGCTTATTGTAAATATTTGATGACTAAAAAAAATAGAATGATATGACAGTATTATTTACTACCAGATGTTTTACTCCTTTGTTGAAATGGACATTTGAGGATAGGGGATCCACTGGAGAACTAAACAAGTGTGGCATGGCTGTCTGAATCAGAGCTATCCCCAGTTGGGAAAGCTGAAGAAACAATCAAAGCTGTGGTTAAGAAATGTTTAAATCATGTTGCAGAGTGGCCCAATACTGACAGGGAAAGAATGACACTTTCTAGCTTAAGACTTTGGGATGATAGGAAATTGAAGAGTAACACAGGCTTTGTAGATAGCAACTACAGTTCTGATTCAGAACATTTTTCATGAGTTCATAGTTTGAGAATAAATACAGTTAGTTCTGCTATAATGCTTATTTTGAAAATGAGAATTTGTTCCTACATGATTGATATTAGGGAACAATTTGAGCACAATGCAGATTTCATTGCTTATGCTTGATTTCATCTGAGAAATAGTAGGCGAGCACAGAAATTTCACATACCTGAAATAAGCTGCATAGGAATACCAAAATGCACATGCACAAACCTCAGACATCTTCCAGCTACCTCAGTTTCACCACATGTTATGAGCCACACCCATTCACATTTTGTGTTATAACTTCTCCAATATCAGATAACCCATCTTCCACCACTTCCTTATAATTCACAAACTGCAACCTTTTGCCACACAATTCCTCAAGGAAACTTCAGGTCTTTTCAAGGTAGAGTGCCATAGTATTGTGGTTTTTATTTATTTTTTAATCATTGAACATATTTAAAACTGTGCTATGGTCTTTATTAGGTTCTTAGCTTTCTTTTTTTTTTACGTGTCACGGACAGAGTTTTTGATTTTTGAGCCTCTAACCTTATTTTTCCCATAAACCCTGTGGTTTTAATTAAGTGATTTTGCTTATTAGCATTGTGAATTTTTAGGAATGCATATGTCTCATTATAACAGAACTGACTGTACAAATTGATAACATAAAGAGTGTGAACTGATAATGTTCTCTCATCTCCCCCCTCCCTTAATGGTGAAAGGCAATAATAGTGCCTACAAGGAGGAACACAGTACAACAGAGCAGAATGCCAAAGACTTTCTTTAACCAGTGTTACAAATAAAAAGGAGGGGAGAGGCATAAATTTACAGGTGGGAATAAATAGATAGGCTCAAGAACAAGTAGAGATTGACAAGTAAACATACAAGGCCTGTAGCCCTCTGAAATAAAAGTATATCTTATCTTCAAATAATAATTATGTTTAACATTTTTTAAGCCCTTACTATGTGCTAGGCACTATGATAAGTGGATTATGTTATGTAATCCTCACAAAACCCTATAAAGTAGGTATTATTACTATCTTTATTTTACAGATGAGGAAAGTGAGGCTTAGAGGGGTTAATTAACTTGCCTAAGGTCAATAACTCATAAATGTAAATGGCAGAGCCAATTCTTGAATCAAGTCTGATTTCTGCACTTTAGATCTTAGTGGTTGGTCTCTTAGAGTACTTTGTGGATTATAAATAATTTTCACATGTGTTATTTTCATGTGTTGTTTCATCCATACTTAATAACTGTCTCTGATTGGCATCACAAACTGTTTTGATCCCTGTGCTAGACAAAGAAACAAAGGTACTCAGGCTAAGAATATGAAGATTATCAGAGGCAAAACAATAATAGAAAGTAATTCTGATACCTGATTCAGAATTTTTTTCCTGGGGCTTATACATGAAAAGAAGAGAAAAATTAGAGAATTAGCGATAAAGAGGTTAGCTGAACTACAGAAAGAGAAAGAAATGATTGTGTTGGAAGTTGGGGGGAAAAAAGAAAGTGAATTATAACAGTACCTCAGAACTGAA